AAGAGAGAAAAGGTTGTTTCATACCTGTTTAGTTGTACTGTGGTGAGGATGACTGTGTGTTTTTGAGCATGTGTGAGTCTGTGAGCATGCATGCATGTGATTCAGCGTGTCCTTGTGAGTATGCATTGATACATAAGTCTGCTCATCTGAATATGCTGCGGTAGTAGTAGTGTTAGTTGTGGTGATGACACAGACGTGAGCGGAGCTGCTCTGACAGCTCCAGTCTAGCAGAGGTAGTAGCAGCTCAGAAGTCAGCTCGAGGGCCCCAACAACACACACACTGTGGAAATGGTAATCTGTTTTCCTTCCCTGCCAGCTTGGCCGAGGCCCCCAGTTGCATGAACGCTCTCCAACCGCATCACAATCATTGGCCACTGACATGCGCAGCACGATGGGGACATTTTTTTTTTGAAAAATATCTTCTGTTTACTGCTTTTATAGCTGCAAGGCAGTATTTTCCCCAGTTGTTTCATGTGAAGGATGGGGTGAGGTTATGTAATTGATTTAGCAATAGGAGACAGCTTTTGGTAGTGGATGGGTATATTAATTGGAGTTTTAGGGGTAAAACTCAGTTTAAACTGCGACCTTGACCAACCAAATACTACTGCCATGTCAAAGAAATATACATTTATCAACAGTTATTTGTGTCGGTCTGGAGGGCATAGATAAACAATGCATCATATTTTGTTTCTTTTTGGTTCTTTAAGATTAAGATCTAACATAGAACCTTCACTTTTTCATAGCCTGGTGTGCACTTCCAGGCTTTTCCTTCACCTAGGAATCCTTTTCCACTAGCTGACTATAGCTGAATCAGAATATTAGTGAGCCTCCATCGCCTTCCCTCTGTTCACCTTTACAACAGATAGCATATCTGCTCCCTGCAGACTGACAGACAGAGAGGCACTGTGAGAAGCAAATGCCCTTATCACTGCCTGCCATATGATGGGATTAGCTTGAGTGTTGTCTAACAAAGCATTGATGAGCAGTTTTAATTGCCTTTACGGCATACCCTGCCAAACCCTGCCTGAACCACACACACACGAGCACACGCACGCACACACACACGCACGCACACGCACGCACGCACGCACGCACGCACGCACGCACACACACACACACACACACACAATGTGACTGAGAATATGGGTTTGAAGACATTAATTTAACCTCCATTCACACTCTTACACAGTAAATACTTAATTAAAATCAATAGTTGTTTTGAATATCTTTTAGTGCCATATTAGAGTGTGTCTCACTAACCACATGACTTAAGTACTTCTGTGACCTGAAGGTCATTCAGAGTGCAGAGGGGCAATGTCTTCCAATTGATTTAACTTACAGTTTACAAAAACATAATTCTGAAATTCAATTCTGATGCTCGCATTGGAAGAATAAACGACAAAAAAATGGTGGCAACATGTCAATCTATGCCTAACTTTAAAGTAAGTATACATTAGAATACATGAAAGTACTTACTCCCGGACTGATCACATATACCACGACACCAAATGATGTAGGGGGCGTAAAACAACTTTGGACCAAAGTGGTGGACCAAGCAAAAGACAAACAGATTTGCATTTGTATCCCTAGAGCCATGACACAAGCACAGCTAAATATGCTATCATTGTATAAACGTATTTCTCTCCGGGCACTATCCTACCCTTCAGTACCTTTCTCATGACAGCAATTTTACTTGTCACTTCAGGAGCTAAAGTCCAGGCCTGCAGAACCACTCGCCATGATACAAACATCCCTGAATGTTCAGGAGCCGCTACACATCACCAATCAAGCTAATAATTAAGCAGATGGAGGCTAACTATCCTGCTGGTCTTACTGCAAAGCAAAGGAAGTCACAGCAGGTCTCTGAAACAGCACAGGCTGCACACTGATCCAGGGAAAAGGCCAAGAGTATACCACCCTGTTTCATTAACACAGGGTAATAGCATAGTGAAAGGTTAAGAGAAAGTGCCTTGATGAAGTCTTTTGCATGGATCTGAGTATTGTTCTACGTAACAGCGTATGGAGATACAGGGAGATAAAAACAAAAGGAAGAAATATTGCAGCAAAGTAAAAATTGGGAAAGAGAAAAGCATCACCATCATAACAGTTACATACTGTATGTAGTGTTCACTGTAACAACCATTTCTAAATGAACAATTTTGCATCAGATTGATATATGTGCAGGTAAGCAGCAGTTTGAGGCTTGAACCAAATGGTGTTCTTCAGATCCTCTCAGTGTTGTGGTGATGAATGGAGGCCTCTGTGACAAAACAGGGAGCGTGACTTCCAGCTGGAAACAGCTCCTTTCTCCTGGCACAAAAGGGTAAAGAGCCCCAAACAGAACTCAATGCTCATTGTCTTTGCTCTCGTTCTCCTCTTGCTTCGTCTCAACTGCCTCTTCCTCATGTATTTCTCTTCTCTTCTCTCCATTGAACCCATATATCCCTTCCAGTCTCAGGGGTATTTTGCTACGCCACATTTATCACGAAATGTACCAGGAGCGCATCTCAGAGCTCAGAGGCAACCCCCTTTCCTCGAGGCATCTTCTCCTACTCTAAGGCAGAGAAAACTAAATGGAACCAAACTATGAATAATATCCAGGGAATACATATTGCATGTACTGTCAGCATGTCTGAAACATATACAGTAGTGTGTGAAAGGGTGGAGAGTTGGTCAAGCTTATTGCACAGTAAATTACATTTGAGTTTGGTGTCCCTCTTGTCATGAAAAGCAGTGTTTTTGAGCCAATGTTGTAGGGCACCTTGTGCTAAAACTTTAAAATGAGAAGAAACAGGAGGTTTTTCTTCATTCTAAAAAATACGTCTTACTATTGAAGAAGGTTTCATTAGTGTTCCCTTTGCTGTCAAGAGCCATCACCTCATCAGCCCAGTGCTCTCTAACTCAGCCAGGTTGTTAATGGGCTTTTATCTCTCAAGACACATCATGTACTTGACACCATTTTCTGAATAGTACTAACTGCACAACCCACAATGGATAACATTGCATCAAAAGTCTGTCCCTTCATGGTGGAAGGAAGAACCAAAAAAAGGGAAAACAACATTATAATACCATTAATGTGTTTGAAATTCAGTAACAGTGGTCTCCTTGGGAACACTGAAATCTACCATCAGAAGACATGTGCTTGTTTTCGTGAAAGGATAAAGCACCACCTCGCAGCAAGATACAGGGTTTAGAACATAATGCAATATTTACTGGAGGGTCAAAAAAGGGCTTCGTATATCCCCTTTTTTATGTGCATTGTTATCCACAAATGTAAACAACATCCTATCCTCTGTGACGAGCAACTTCTTACGCCAGCTTCTGGTGTGACCATTAACACGGTGGTTTTCATAAATAGCATTCAACACAAAAATAAATATCAAGGTCATGAGACTGTTGTACGATATACGTGATTTGGTAAACAAAAATAATTGGACGCATTGGAAATCTGCCCTGGTGACGGCACTACATAAAAAAGTAAAGGGATAACCAAAGTCATTTGAATTCATCATCGAAGAACCATGATTGTTTTTTACAAAATGTTGTGCCAATACATGAATTACATGTTGAGATATTTTAATGAAGAACCAGCACCTTACCGTGGTAGAGAGGTTTGTGTGCCCTGATGAACCTGGGGGCTGTGTTGTCTGGAACCTTGTGTTCCTGGTAGGGTCTCCCATGGCAAATTGGTCTCAGGCAAGGGGTCAGACTAAGATTGGTTCAAAAGACCTCATGAAAGACGACACACGAAGTGAGGATACCCGGCCCGGAGGAAGCCCGGGGTCCCCTTCTGGAGCCAGGCCCAGAAGGAGGACTCGTCGGCGAGCGTCTGGTGGCCGGGCTTGCCACGGAGCCCGGCCTAGAGCCTCTTTTTCGTCATACGTTAGGGATCCAGGGGGGTGGCTTTTGACGTCCTGGGGCGGGAAAGGGGGGTCTTTGATGCCCGGAGCTTTAGGGTTCACGCGGTCACATATAATGTTTTTGGTCCTACACAACCCTGGGTTTTCGCGTCGCGGACCGCCCCTCCCGGGTTGGGAGTGGACCCTTTTACCCAGGGCCCTGAATGACGGCTCCTTGGGCCCCCCTGGGTGTCGGAAGAGCGAACCCTCATGTTTCTCTTTAACCTACCGGGACTTCCAATACCTCTTGGGGGGAGGTGGGGTATGAGGGCCGCGCTCGTGGGGAGGTGTCACCTGAAAGGGCCCTCTTTTTTGGGCCAGTATGCGGAAAGAAAGGTCCAAGATGTTTTGGGGGTTGTACATCCTGACTCTCGCATGAAGGGTCCGGGGGGGAAGGTCTAGGAACGCCCTTTCCATTTTTTTTCCGACTTAGGGGCACCCAAGGTGCTGGGTCCTGCCTTTCAGGCGGTAAACAAAGGGAAGGAGGTTAGACTCCAAGCCCCCCCCTGTTAGCCCGGACTGGGGAAGGAAAAGCCTCATGGGAAACCTCATTCTGAACAGGGCCCCTCCCTGACCCTCATTACCACTTACGGAGACATTAACCAGTGTGTGGGGCACTAAGGGGGGAAATTTTTCCCTGGTGGTGGGGCCAGACGGTGAGGAGACCTGACAGGTGAGGTGCGTTGCACTACTCTGCACAGTTGGTACTTCGGTTCCCCCAGGGAGTTGTGGGTCTCGGAAGTCGTAAAAGACCCGCCTAGAGAGGTGGGGGCCGACAACGGTGACACTTCACCAACTAGTCTGGAGTCATTGGAGGGGGGCCCCTCTAACCCAGGTAGGGGCAGGTATGAGGTCGAGCAACGGCAGATTGTATCTCCGCGCTCAAACAGCCCAAGTCTCAGAGGGGGGGGGGGGGGGGGGCGGGGGGGGCGGGGGCGGGGGGGATATCCGAGAAGGCTTGCGTTGGAATATGGTGAGGTACCCGTCCAACTCCAGTTGGTTGCAGGGTAGCGACGACATGTGTCGAACCTACCAAGGCGGACGAAGGGGGAGGGACTCCACAGCCTGTCAAAAAGGCTTTTGCAAACCCACCGGGGGCTTTCAGAAAAAGGTACCGAAGGACGCGCCTTGAAGAGGGGTGTGGGCCGCCGAAACGGAGCCGGTGCCGACTCCGACGACGGGAAGCCGGACAGCCATGGAACGTTGGACGGAGTCCTCAGGGGGCCCTGATTGTTTAGGGACTTCGGAGGAAGAAGTCAGCCTGCCGAAGGGACTGGTTGCCACAGTGGTCCTCCAAGCTACCCAATGGCGGGGAACTCCGTGGCATCCTGGAACTTCTGGGTGTCGAGGGGCGGGCCGAAGCCGTTAATTCTCCGATAACTTTGTGGCTGGTGAGACCAAGTTACAGGGTGGAGGTGTCCTTACGGCTTTTCGAGGCGGCCTCCACACTCAACCTTCCGGAGGACTTGAACCCGGAGGAAGGTCTGCAAGGACGTCAAGTGGCGGCTTGATGTGCAAACCTCGAATGGTGCCAGATAGGTCTCCGAAGGGGGCGGTGAGCTGGGTTGAGTGGTGGTCTACCACTAAGTCAACCCTGTTGAGGCGGGGAGAGAATGGGCTCACAGGGTTTTATGCCCGGAAGTCCAGGCTACTACTGTATTGTTTTAGCCTAGTACCCTGGAAGACGGATCCCACGAGACCATGGTGCTATGTGAATACTCGTAGGAATAGCAAAGCTTGTACCACAAACAATACCGGTTAGGTACTGGATCGTGTCTTCAGGTCATTGTTTTTGGTGGTGAGGCAGTCTAGTCCCCGGCAAGGAGGGTTAGTGAGGGGAGGTTCACAGATGCAGAACGGGTGGTACACGCAACTTTCAGAGGGTCGTTTAATTTCTCAGGGGAAGTCCTCGGGAGTATGTCCTGAGTAAGGTCCCAGAGGTTCTTCCGGCCATATGAGCTTGACGACAACCCACGTATTCGTGGTGTTGCAGTCTCAAAAGGGGGTATTGGAGGCTTCCGCATCCCTGGCCGTTGGGAGAGCAGGTGACCCCATCTAGAGGTTTGTTGCTTCGTGCGGTTGGCACCCTGAAACACTCATAGGGTGTGTGCGGCACGCGAGCAGTGTGGACTCGTTGAGGCCTCTTCCCTTATCTCAGGTTGGGGATAGGCTTCATTGCAAGGTCTCGCGCTGCGACACGCATCTCACTCGGGTTGGTCTAGGTGGACCATTGCGAGGTAGGAGGGCGTGTTGAGGCTGAGAAGGGGGGGTCTCTCCACTGCCAGGGTGCAGCGGTTCCGGTCGAAGACAGCGAGGCGCCAACCAGGCAGGCTCTGAGGAGAGCGGAAGTGACGGGTGGGAAGACCGTCGCCGTGGCTGGGGTAGCCTGACAAAGCATCCACCACCGGCGCCCTGCCTCTTCGCTGCCAAACCGGGTGCAGCGGTAACAAGC